CAGAAGCAAAGCATGTTATAAATGTGGTGAAAACGGGCATCTCGCCAAAGAATGCAAAAATAGCGAGAGCTGTCCGGTATGTAATGAAGTTGGCCATAAAACAGGATCTGGAAATTGCAAAAGTTTTAAACAGTCACTGATTAAAATAAAACAAAAAGAGAGGCCGAAGATGAATAAAGTGATAAGCCAGCTGTGATAATTCAACTGTCTGTGATAGAACATATATATATTTATTTTATTTTATAACTTGTAATGCAAATCAACATTATGCAACTAAACCTAAACCGAACCAGAGTGGCACATGACCTTCTGGCAAGAACCAGCACAGGAAGTTGGAGCGGCAGACATCTAAGACAAAGAAACAAAATGCCATAAAAAAAAAGGGCAGCTTAGCAAAAAAAACTTAGCAAACCTGAAATATGCTGATGACATTGTCCTGATCTCCGACAATCTAAAGGACATTAGAATAATGGTAGAAGAACTCCAAACGGCCTGTTCGGCTGTCGGATTACAGATTAATTTATCAAAGACGAAGTATATGACAAATTTAGTGCCAAGCGGAAACATAAAAACTGAAAGAGGATAATACGAACTAGTGGACCAATATGACTACCCCGAACATGAAATTAAGATGTCAAGAGATAACCAAACAGCGGAACTGAGCAGAAGAACCAACATGGCATGGGCAGCTCACGGAAGACTAAGAGATAAGTTTAACAGTGATATACCAATCTGCCTGAAAAGGAAAGTGTATGACCATTGTGTTCTGCCGGTACTAACGTACGGTGCAGAAACTCTAGCTCTAACAGCTACATCTACGAGGAAATTAAAGATACATCAACGAAAAATGGAAAGGGCAATGCTTGGGATATCACTAAAGGTGACGAACGATGAAATAAGGCGAATGTGAGCCAGCATGCAGCAAAACAGAAATGGAAATGGGCAGGACACACGAGCCATTCATCGCAGTATATCCATAGAGTAAGTAAAATAAGAGAGGTGGCAATCATATGGGCGTCCTTGTTACCGCGTTACGCAGGTAGCGCTGCAACTGGCTGACCGGCGACTG